CATATTTATTTTTAGTTACAACATCATAATTTGTTTTTATTTTATTTTACTTATGTTTTGGGGCTATTTAACGAGCAAGTCTTGCATACGTCGGTAGCACATATAACTGCCATTTAAAAATTTACATCTGGATTTTTTTACTTTTTAATTTTTGTTCCGTACACATAGCACAACAAACAAGAGATTTTAATTGGATTGCTGTAACACCCCGTATATATCCGGTAATGTTATCATAATATCGTATTAAGCTGCGCTTAATTAAAATGCGGAATTACTTTTTCTTTTCAATTATGATGCCATTAACATTACCAACTTGCTTAATAATCAATTAAGAAAACATCGCCTGTATGTAATTGCAATAAAACAGCTAACTGAAATACCTCATAACATAGATAATATAAGTGTGGCTCTAGTCACGGAACTACAACAATGTAGACCGGACCATCTAACAGTTTATACAACTTCAATCTAAAAGTACTAACATAAAGTGTCATGGACAATCCCCATGCTCACTCAAATAAGGCAACATGCCCAACATCAGTCTCAACAACAACATATCATAAATAGCGGAAAACATAAACAACATCCCAAATCCAGTCATGCTAACATAAAGCAATAAAACATAATCAGCTAAGCTTCGGCCTCCTGCCGCCTGAGGCATCAGTACCCATACTACCTGATCCTTAAATAAGCATTCCCCAAACGTGGGGTAAGATCTCTAATCTAGAAATCTCAGTAAGTCAGTGAGTCCTCAAGGATCTTCCACCCCAAGCTCACTTACATGTGCAATATAAGTTCAAAAGCAGTTTATCATTTATCATTTCTAAAACAATGCAATGCAGCAGATAATCATGCCATGTGTGTCAATACTAATCTACTGGCCAGAGACAGTGCAGGTATACGTCTATCACCTACACACCGTGCAAGTACCACTTGCATACACCCCGGTACACCATCTTGTATGGCGCTACATACTCAGGCTTCCCGTCAAGATGAAACAACACATGCATATTAAAAGTCATTACATGTAAAGTTCAATCAACATATCAAATATCCAAAAGCATGTACACAGCATGCATAAACCATACCCCCATGGGACATGGTGGAACCACAACATGGCTAAACCGATGACACGAAAGCTTACCTCTAAGCTAGCTATCCAATGCCACAAGCTCAAAGTCCAATCACAGCAGATCACAATCTGATATGGACCAAATATAAATCAATAACATGTACCACATGCATACAAATTAAAGACAACGCCTTTTCATTACGCTTTATGTCTTAAGGCTTCTCACCAAGCCATAAGCCCTTAATCACTTGATTCTGACTTAATTTAATTAAAACAGAAGTTAAACCTCATCAATCTAGGGTCCACAAACCCCCAATAGCCTACTGTCCTCACAGCACAGCTACTGTTCTTCGAAATCCCAGAATATCCGGATATATGTCGGGGGCATATCCGGATATCCATATCCGGATATCTCCAAGCCCATATCCTAATATCAATATCCGGATATCATATACGGATATTTCGCGAGATATCGCATTTCGCGAGATATCGCTCCCAAGGTTCCATTTTATTAAAACTGAAGTTTTAATTATTTCCCAAAAATTCTGATATTTTAATATGTTAAACTAGACATCACAAGCTTTCCAACGAATTATCTTATGTCTCAATCGAAGTTGTATAGCTTCGGTTATGATTTTCGCAAAGTGACTGCTGCCAACTGAATTTCCAGCAACCAAGACGCGACTTTAAACTAATACAGTGTTCAAACCACTTATCCAATGGCTACGAAATTTTACAGGGTTGTATCCCTATGTGTTAGCTTCACATAGGTCCAAACGGAACTCGATTTGGAGCTCTGTAGCTCAAGATATTGAATTTTTACCAAGACAGGTTCGTTGCTGTCCCGAAATCCGGATATCCATATCCGGATATGCATATCCGGATATTTCGCGACAGAATGCAGTTTTTTTGCATTTCGCGAAGATATCCAACAAAGGTGGTTCATTTCAAGCATACAGAAGCTTAAACATACAATTTAAGGTGTGTTTAACATTACCCAACATTAAGTTATCAACTTTAATCCATTACATGCATCAAGGTTCCACTTTTAAGCATAAAAACTCAAGATCATGGGTTCAACAACTTACCCAAGCTTAAAACAGAAAAGGATGATGCTCTTGGAGCTCACTTGAAGCTCCCAAAGTCCAGCACACACAAGGAAACGAAAATGGCACACCAAAGGTTGGTTCTTAGCACCAAAGATGGCTTCTTAGCACCACAAATGCCAAGCCAAAGGTTCACACCCTCAACAAACTCAGAGGCAGCAATTACCACCCCTCACACCAGCAGCTCCAACTCAGCAAGAAGGTCTCACACCCACTCCCAAGGCTTTATCTCACTCACACAAGGATGATTGGTGAAGGAAAAGTGAAGAAAAGCTACAAGGAAGGTCAAGAAATGGTGGAGAAGGCAAAGGGTAGCAACCACCAGCAGCCACTCACGTAAAAATGGCTGAGTATCAGCCTAGGGTTTAGTGCCAAGCACTATATATAGGCGGTTAAGTCACTAACACACAGTATTATCATAAATAGCTACGCTTAGCATTTTAATCCCAAACTTTGGATTCTGAAACTAGACATTTTTCTAAGAATTATCATATATTTTTTTCGTAATTTTCTGAGCACCTTTCTGGTACGCGCTTTTCCAATCCAGTACCGGTTTCTAGCACTAGTTCTCATTATCTGGACTTGAAACTCGCTTTACAAGTCCTACATATCATTCTAGTAATTTTCATACACTTATTATAATTTTCCGGGATACTTTTTCGGTACGCATTTATACCGACTAGCAGAACCGGTGTCTGCACTTTTCGTCAGAAAAGCGACTTTCAGCATTATTACTCACTAATTATAATTATTAAAGCCTCATAATAATTATTAGAGTCAATTATGAAATTATTTTCTAATTTCACATAATTAATTAATTAAATCTCTTAATTAACGGTGCGGGTTCTTACAATTGCCGCACCCAATCAATGGTGCGACAGTATCACAATAGAAATTTCGCTATTTAACATCTTATAAAGGGACTTTTAAGACCCCAGTTATAGGCAATTGAATTTTCTATCATTTCAATGAATAATTTGGAAGGAGGATTTTCTTTATCAAATCCCAATTCTGATGGTGTGTGTTCTTCCTTTTAATGCTTGGTGACTGAGTATGCACCTCATTTATTGGTGCATCGTTTTGTCTGAATAATCACATCAATGAATATTACCGCCTCATCTTTTTATGAAAGACTCTAGAAGAAGAATAAGGGTTTTACCTTACCTATATAAAGATAAGAAGACCCTGTTTAGGTGCTTACATTGTCTTTCGGGTTTTTATGCACATTTATTTTCAGTTACATCATAATTTGTTTTTATTTTATTTTATTTATGTTTTGGGCAATTTGACATCTTATTTAAGACCCCAATTATAGGCAATTGAATTTTCTATCATTTTAATGAATAATTTTATAAGGAGGTTTTTTTTCTCAAATCCTAATTCTATTGGGGTATGTTCCACCATTTAATGTTTGGTGGGTGAGTATGCACCACATTTATTGGTGCATGGTTCAATGTTTGAATAACCATCTCAATGAATACTCCTACCTCATATTTTTTTTGTACGACTCTAAAAGAAGGATAAGGGTCTTCCCTACCTATATAAAGATAAGAAGACCCTTGTGAAAGGGTTAACTAAGGACATGTTAGAATCCTTTGAAGAGAAGTTTGAGTGTAAGACCTCTTTAGATAATAACTTTTTAACCATTATTGTTGGTGAAGTTTGAGTGCATCTCTAGTGAAACTAGAAAAGTTTGAATCTTGTAATCCTACTATTTCATACTAGAAAATTTTATTGACTAGGTCCCGTAGTTTTAACTCCACTGCATTGAGGGAGATTTTTCACGTTCAAATTGGTGTGTGTCTTTCTCTATGTCTCTCCATATTTTCATATATGCATTTTTCTTTGTTTTCTTGCGACTTGGCCAGCTTGTAGACTTCAGGCCGACCTCCAAAGTGTCGAGTGGTGCTTTGACGATTTGTGACTAATTTCCACACTGATTGAGGGACTCCGTCCCAACAAATTCTGCTTTGCAATTTTTTATTTTATTTTATTTTTTGGCTTTGGGGGTCAACTCCTATTTTCAAATGATGTCTAAAAGATAAATCTGATTAATTTTCATTTAAAAAGGGCGAAAATAATAATTAACATGATAGTTATTTTATTTTATTTTTTGGTACATTAACATTATAGTTATTAATCAAAACGATAAAAGAAAAACTGTACTAATATTCCTTGTCTAGTATAAGTAACGTAGCTTCATTTTCTTCAGAAATAAAACAAATGACTATGACATAACAATACCAAAGAGTGATTTTCAATGTGAGAACACTTTCCACATACGAAACCCATAGGAGGAACACTCCTAGTTTTCTTTCAAACATAGTGGCACGCAGCCAAACGGTACATATAATATTGTGGAGCAATTAGTCCTCCACTGATGGCGGTATTGGTTGACTAGTACTCAAACTTAATTCATCATCGTGATAGTACACGCTGACACGTCTCAACCATGTGTGGCCCACATCAAATCAATATATCATATAAGCTAAATAAGCTTATATGAACAACTAAAATAAAATTAATACTTTTATGTTGGAAAAAAATGATATAGTCATCGGATAAGATTATATAATTATATAAAGATAAATCAATAATTATAATTTTATAACTATCTATTTTAATTTTTTTTTTTTATCTTTCTTTAACATTAGATGATCCCGATTCTAAATATTGTTTTTTTTTTCATTGAAAAGTACACATCTCTAATAAATTCTTTTTTTCGTTTTAAATTTAATTTTCGTCAAATTGTCCTTTAAGAAATCCACTATAAATACACTCCTTTAACTAGCTACAAAGCATCACTACAATCCTCCAAGTACAAAGCAGAAAGTTGCCATTCCAAATTTCAAAAATCCCAAGCTAGTTTTGGTCATTCTTAACAATCTTCCTCTGCTTAAGCCATGGCCTCTAACATTAGCTTGATAAGTTTGGCAATAGTTGCACTTGCCCTTTTTGTCTCCGTGCAAGGAACTCTTGGTAAGTCTCTAAAACCTGTCAAGCTCTTTACTAAAAAAATATTTCCCACTTATATTTATCTCGTTATAGATTCAAATTTGATCCTTACAAACAAAAATAAAAGTGAGTCATTCAATAAACATTTCAAAAAATGATTGTGCTCCTAGAGTTTAACATCTCTAATATGTATATATGGTGATGGTGAAATGCAGGAGGTATAGAATGTGAGCATCTGAGCCACGATACATGCGCATTTGCGGTGTCATCAGCAGGAAAACGATGTGTGCTTGAGAAGCACGTGAAGAGGACCGGTGAAGAAGCATATACATGCAAGACATCAGAGATTGAAGCTGATAAACTCAAGGACCACATCGAAAGTGATCAATGCATCAAAGCTTGTGGATTGGACAGAAAATCCTTTGGTATCTCATCTGATTCTCTTCTTGAGTCTCGTTTCACTCAAAACCTCTGCTCCCCTCAGTGTTACCAAAGCTGCCCCAACATTGTTGACCTTTACTTCAACCTTGCTGCTGGTGAAGGTAAACACACATAGAACAATAAGAGTTTGACTTTTACAAGTCCCTATAAAATTTGTTAGACCGTACTTTAATCGGGAGGATCAATTTACATCGGTATAAAAATAATAAGTCATATTTTCAATATTAGCATTTGATTCCGCTTGCATCTAATGACTATTAGTCATTTGTGTCATTAGATGCAAATAGAATCAATAGCTACAAATTAGAAGTGAAACTTATTATTTTCACGTCGGTGTAAATTGATCATCTCTGTTTAAATATATATTCTCACATCTTTGACCTATCATAGCCTTATTACTATATGACTGAAAACAATGTAAGATCAAAATGAAATTTATAAGGTTACTAGATATATGACTAGCTTTTCTATATACTTATTTATGCATATCACTTTGTCTTAAAAAAGAATATTTGAATCAAAAATGTCTGATGTTTGAGTTTTATCCTTTATGTATAGGTGTATTTCTTCCCAAGTTGTGTGAAGCAGAAGGTGCAAATGCTCGTCGAGGAATGGCTGAGATCAAAAGCTCTGGTAGTGTGGCACCAGGACCCGTGCGCTCTGTGCAGTTCACAGCTAATCCTCCAGAACCTTTGAATGCTATGGAGTTCACTGCTGAACCTGTGGTTGCCCCTGCATACCCACCATACTAAGTAGTAGATTTTATAATGCAGACTTAAGATTGGTGTGTTTGATACCTTAATATATATACGTTTGGTTTTTAATAAGGAAGTTTGCACTCCAATATACTTAGGGGGGTTTGGAATGTATCATTAATATATTTTGTTATGCAAAATGTTGCTGGAATTCTTTTCAGACTCTTCACATAAAAAATGAGTGTAGCTTTCACAGTATTTGTTATATATAAATTGCTCATTATAATTATCAATCAAATATTGGTTTCAATTGAGCTTGGAATATAATAGCCACTGTGGGTCGCCTTTTTTCTTTTGCTAGCCAAATAATTTGTAAAAAACCTTAGAATACATCAATATAAGAACTAAAGCTCATTATAATTATCTCAAAGGTTCTTTATATAATTATCTCAAGGTTCTTTATATAATTATTTCAAGGGAAAACATTTTCTCTATTTAAAGGAGAAAATTTTTCTCATGTTAGTGACTCATAGTATAAGTGGGGCCCACAAAATAGTGGAGAGAGAAAAGGTTTCAAAGTGGGACCCACTTATGCTATGAGTCACTGACATGAGAAAAATTTTCTCCTTTTAAAAGGAGAAAATATTTTGCCTTATTTCAAATGCTCTTAGTTATAAATTACAATACACAACTAAAGCTCAAAGGGGCATACATGTCAACCAAAGCACAAATATAAGAACTCGAAAACTTTCCTATTCTAACTTTTTTTTTTTTTTGAAACAACGGAGCGAAAGCTCAAAGAAAGAAAACGCATTACCAAGCAATAAAATGGTGCGACGAGTTCTCCGAAGCTCATATGTAAACATTTGAATGAAAGAACAACCTCACTATCCAAGAAAAATTACTTTCTAAGTTCTAACTAAAAAATTGTGAGTACACTTCATAAGACTCCCCACCCCCAAAAAAAGTAAAATAAATAAATAAATAAAATAAAATAAATAAATAAAAATCTATTTCTTCCTTTATTGTTCGCACTCTCAACGTCAATATTATAAAAATCGGACCAACCGGGTCGGATCGACCTGGAAATTGGTGAATTGGTCATATAACCGGTCCGGTTTTCATATTAGACCGGCCATGTTACAGAACCGGTGTGACTCGATGCAACCCGGCCAGTTTTCGTAAAAAACCAGTGATCCAGTCGGTTCAACCGGTGACCCGGCCCGGTGCCCCAAAAAAGTAAAATAAATATATAAATAAAACAAAATAAATAAAATAAAATCTATTTCTTCCTTTATTGTTCGCACTCTCAACGCCAATGTTATAAAAATCGGACCAACCCGGCCGGATCGACCCGAAAATCGATGAACTGGTCATATAACCAGTCTAGTTTTCATATTGGACCGGCCATGTTACAGAACCGGTGCGACCCGGCCGGTTTTCGTAAAAATCGGTGATCCAGTCGGTTCAACCGGTGACCCAGCCCGGTCTATAAAAAAAAACTAATTTATTTTCATAAATTAATGTCTTCTTTTTTCTTACTCTCAAACACAAATAATTTGTTTTCTTTTGAAATATTTGAGTGATTTGTAACTTATTAACTTACATAGATTATGTACCTACAACACTAATATTATCTTGATTATGCAACATGCAGGAAATTTTGATTTGATTTATTGTTAGAGATGTCATTTATTGAACCTGAAACACTAGTATCACAAATATTATATGTTTGATTGATCTTTTGTTGGACAATTATGTGTAATTTATTATTTTCATATTAAAATATTTGAAATTGGTATATTTTTTTACAAATATTTAAATATATTTATAGATTTTTTAATATAAATTATAGATTTACATATACTTATCGGGTCATACGGTTGAACCAGTAACCCACCAGTAACCCAGTGATCCACTGATTGAACCCGTAACCGAACATCTCGACTATATCAATATCCGAACCAGATTTAATAACATTGCTCGTGCGTGCTCAGCGCACGAAAGCAGGAACAACTGGCGCTGAAGTAGCAAAGTATTCCTTGTCTTCGAGTTGCAGGATTTCACAGTGCGAAAAAATGAGAAGAAAAAAGGGAGGTCACTCAACATATAAGTTGGAGGAGAAAAAAAAATAGTAAAGGTAAATTGTTTCTTAATTTTTAATCCAAGATAAGAATGTTTTATAAGTGGTTGAGTAAGAAGTTGAAACAGTTGTATCTCTTCGTTCACGAATAGTTAGTCGTGTCTCTTTGTTTTCGAACAATTAAGCCTTTTTGTTTCTAAATAGTTGAGTATTTCCTATGTGTCATTGGTTATTATTTCTCTCTTATATATACCTATATATTGGTATTCATTAAATTCAAATCATTGTGTATTTCCTATGTGTCTTTGGTTATTATTTCTCTCTTATATATACCTATATATTGGTATTCATTAAATTCAATCATTTGTTTTTCCTAATTCGTTACCGAAAATTTGCCAAAGTATTTCTCATTTTCTGCTTGTCTACAATTGATCTAGTGTTCGTCATGTATGTTGATAATGTTTTTTTTTATTCTACCACCGTCGAAACAAAAATAACTCATTTTATCATGAGAGGCATTTGTCCATCAACCTTAAATATTGTTGAGGGGACAAAATTGTTATAAGGACAAAATATATAATACTAGGCTAGCATTTAATTTTCTGCAATTTTTCTCACTTTGAATATGAGTTGGAGCAGAAAAAATAATAATAAAGGTAAATTGTTTCTTAATTTTTAATCCAAGATAAGAATATTTGCATTTTGAAGGTATTAATAATTAGCTGAGCTGCTTCTGCAGGTAACGGATGTGTGTCTTAGATTTTGCTGTGCAAACGACATTAATGAACCAAAATGAAAACGTAATTTTTTTTTCCAACCTCAATAATTTTGGACCTCTCCTAACTACACTTTGAATCAATCTTTTCATTCTTTTATTGGTAAATCGTAAGCTAAACGGAAACTTGAAAATTTTGAAAATAATAGCTACTTGTTTGAATTCCTTGTAATAATTGTAAGGATGAAATTATCATATAGTGGTAATAAAATTTCGTATGTGCTTAGTATCCTAAAGTTCGAGACTAAGATTGAAAATTCAAAGGAGAAATCCATTTTATATAAGCCAAGGCACCAGTTTTCCTTCCTGACTTATAGTCGTGGAAAATGAACATGCTCTATTTCCAACAAGTTTCGAGTCCACATATAACTAACTTAGCCGCCAAATCTATGTACAACAAAGCTATCATCAATTTAAGCTCCGTAGATAGCGGAAGGCTACTTATCAAGTTATAATCAACATTGCTTGTAATTATTTTGGTACTGTTTGCTACTTTGTTTGAAGTCATACAAACCCAAGAAAAAAAAAAGTATATACTTCATATTCTATTCTATTCCTTTTACTTAAGAAATTCAGGTATTGTTTTTGTTGGAAATATTAATGTCAAAAGATTCACGAGAGGATAAAGTTGTGGAGTATAGTTCATACTTCGCATGCTGATGAGGGTCCTAGTTGTCGGGGTCAGCAGAAACGCAATTGGGGTCCCGCTCCCAGGTGAGCAGGTGGGGTCCGGGGGAGTCGCCCCGACGGGGTCCATGAATATTTGTTGTTACGGTTTTCTAATTCTATTTGTTGAGATATATAGTCCAATATTGGTTGTATGTGCAACTAATGTAGAGTTTATAAGATCTTGGGCACTCTCACCCTTTGAGCTAGCTTTTGGGGTGGTGTATCCCAAGGTTCTTAACATGGTATCAGAGCCTCGCCACCCCCCACTTTCTCTTGTGGCATTTCTTAGCACAGGTAGGTTGTGCCTGTTGCATTGTCCACTCTTCAAGCCCAATGGGCTCTCGTGTGAGGGGGCGAGTTGAGATATATAGTCCAACATTAGTCGTATGTACAACTAATGTGGAGTTTATAAGGTTTTGGGCACTCCCACCCTTTGAGTTAGCTTTTGGGGTGGTGTATCGCAAGGTTCTTAACAATATTTATTTTTTCCTTGTAAACCAAGTGACTTGTAACGAGTGGCGGTGAGGTGAATATAGTACAGACAAGCTGGACGTAACCTAAATTGGGTGAACCGAAGTAAATCTCTGTGTCTATTCTCTCCCTTTCTCTTTTCGTTTTCGATTTGTGTGATTGTCGATTTCCAACAAAAATTTGTGTGGAAAATTACTTCTTAAACAACACCTGTAATTGGATAAAATGCATGCAAGAAAATAAAACATAAAATAACACAAAGTTAAAACAACACCTATAAAAAATCATAGAAAATAAATCTGAGCTCAATGTTTGATATGCATCCTTAAAACAATTTGTCCTTTTTATATTGTTCAAAAGGGAATGAAAATTATCTTCTAAGATAGAACAGATTATCTATGTTAGTTGACGGCATTCTCAAACAAATAGTAGTGGCAGACACAACATTCATCTGAATTACTGCACAAAATGAATACAGAATGAATGCAAATATTTCAGAAAATATTTTGGTAGAGTTTCAGTAATGGAGAAAAATCAGAAAGGTGACTGATTTATTTTGATTTCCTTCCATATTTATAAACCATGACTTGCCATAATTAATGGTGCTTATTCGATGGAAAAAAGCCACGTCTATTTTTCGGTGAATAGTTGAAAAAACATCTCTCTTCACACTCAACTTTGTATTCATAACACTTAAATTCTATAATAATTTTAACAGTTTTCACCTCAATGTACATAGTTAATTATAAATGTTTGTGTAATCAAATTGATAGGTCATGTGTAACATTCTCGTCTCAAGCCGGTTCAATTAACATACATATGATACAAACAGAAACAGCGAAAGACTTAACTTACGAAAATACGAGCTAACTTTTTCTTTTATTTTTCATTAATCTTAATTCACATGATAACTCACATTGCATACATCACCTAATTTAATTCGTATTTGACGAAGACGAAAATCGGGCAGAGTAACCTCTGTAAATTGGACAACTGGGGATTTGCCAATCCCACTCTCAAAGGTTCCTGATAAACAGTTTATACCATATATAATTTCAGAAATATCAGATATCTATAAAGGACTATATACCCATCCATGGGTGCATGCATAACTGGCTCTAGCCACTATGTCTAACAACATACATATTTCAGCACATACACATATCTGAATACACAAATGTACATGCATCAAATATGAACACATG